AGACTACAGGCATGCTTCACCACTCCTGGCTAGTTTTTTGTATTTTTTTGTAGAAAAGGGGTTTCACCATATTGCTCAGGCTAGTCTGAAATTCCTGGGCTCAAGTGATCCTTGCACCTCAGGCTCTGAAACTGTCAGGATTAAAGGCGTGAGCTAGCCCACCCCATCCGGCCAGGTTTCCATCTTTGTAACAAGAGAAATGATCATTGTCAGGAGGCAAAATCCAAGCCAGGTGGTTTAGTACAGCACTTTGTAAACTAAACCACCACAGAAATGTTGATGACTGTTACTATCACACCTGTTCAAGATTTCAGTAAAGAAAGGATGAGCTGTTCTCCAACAAATCCAAAGAACTGAAAATGTAGTATCAGGATCAAGTACAGGGGAAAAAAAGAAAAAGAGGGACGGTCGATTTCTGAGTCCTTCTAGACAAGCAATTGGGTGATGCACAGAATTATTTTGTTTAGCTGCATATAGTGTCCTAGTAGTTTAATTTGGATTAAATGCCAGCTAGTTAAAATGCAGATTTCAGGAAAACTCCAAAGGTGGCCCACACTGGGCCTACATTCCCATGCAGCCCCTTTGGTGGGACATGGTCCCATGAGGCCTTCACATGGCCCAAGTCACCAATTCATTTTACTGGCCTCACCCTCTAGGCATTTGGGTTTATAACCTTGGGTTATAAAAAACACACACACACAACTATTTGTGAAAGCATTCAGACCTCCAGGGGAAACTTCAGTCACTGAAGAATCAATAACCAAGGAGACACTCCCTATCAGAGCCCAGGTACTATGCTCTCCTATCGTCTCTCAAATTCTTCTTCTCCTTGACACCTCTGTAACTTCAAGGTCTTCATCCCAGTGTACTCCTTCCTCTACAAAAGACATCATGTCCCCAAAAACACTATCTGTGATTATCTGCATCAAAGGGTTTTCAAGAAACAAAATGTCTCTCTTTTTAGCAGGACTATAAAAAACACACCATGAGCTTTATTTCCTGCCTATTACCAGCCATTAGCATCCACTCTCAGTCCATATGGTTTGAGTGTGGCTGACTCCTGTCCATTTCTGGGGAAAGGCATGCGACCCAGAAGCCCTCAGAGCCAATCCTGGCACTTGGGTCACAGTGACTGGGAGATGAGTATTCTTTCCCTTTGGGACTTAGAAGACATGGGAGTCTCCCAGCAGACACAGTGCCTACCTAAATAGTGGAACCAAGACTAGGTGCGGTGGCTCACGCCTGTCACCCCAGCATTTTGGGAAGCCATGGCAGGTGGATCAGCTGAGAGCAGGAGCTCAAGATCAGCCTAGCTAACATGGCGAAACCATGTCTCTATTGAAAATACAAAAATTAGCTGGGAGTGGTGGCACATGTCTGTAGTCCCAGTCCCAGCTACTTGGGAGGCTGAGGTGGGAGAACTGCTTGAACTCAGGAGGCAGAGGTTGCAGTGAGCCATGCCACTGCACTCTAGCCTGGGTGACAGAGCCAGACTCCGTCTTAAAAGAAAAAAAAAAAAAAGAGTGTAACCCCTGGAGAAGCCAAATCTGCAGCCACACTACTTATTGGAGACTCTTTTGGTCACTTATGAGCCAATCAATTCCTGTCTTTGCCATGAATCGGGTTTTCTTCCGACCAAAAGAGACCTAATCAATACAAGAGATATTTGAAATAAGGGCTTGAAAAGGAAGACCAGCAAAGGCACTCAAATTTTCTCCTCTAGGAAGCTTTTGTTACCTCCTTCAATCCAATGACAGCTAGGTTTTACTCTCTGCATTAGCCATCCCTCTTAAGCACTTATCTCATGTATATAATTATTTTTTTGCTTGCCTATCTCCTCCACATATCTCCTGAGCTCCTTCAGGGCAGAAACCACGATGTAATCACTTTTGATTCTTTAATACCTTGGATAACAACACACAATGTAGGCTCAACAAGTGTCTGTTGAATGTATGAATCCACAAAAGACAGGTGGACTCCTACTCCTCTTCTTTGGGACAATCCCACCATGAAACCACCTCATAAGCCTTGCCCCTGTGAGTTTCAGACCATCTTCTCAGATAGACTTATCCACCCATCTTAAGCAAATTGCATCATGAGAACTCATTCCTTCCAGGCATTACTAATTTTCCACATGTCCGTCCCCTGGAAGCTTACAGTGAAATTACTCAAAGGTCTTCCTTCTGAGAATATCTCACTGCAAGACACTACCTAGAATTCCACGAACTGATAAACCAACACACAATGGGCATGATATTCCTTCTCCACCTAAATCACAGGGGCAAAAACAAAAAAATCCCTTTGCTTTCTAGCCTTCATCTTGACCTAAAAACACCCAGAATCCTGATTCTGGGGCCAACCACCTGCTTCTATGCAGTAACAATTCTAGGCACTCTCCTGCCTCCATTTATCTTCCTTAGTCCTTTCTGATTACTTAAGCAGAAACACACACACACACACAAATATCTAGGAAATCAACAGCAAGGAAACAACAGGTTTCCCAGTAAAAACAGATGTTCTGACTTTGGGTGCATAATTGCCACACCCTTAATAGTTCTTCAGCTTCCACTGGCATCTAGCAATAAAGACTTTAAAAGAGAGTCAAAGGTCAGGCCCAGAATGACAGCCCTAGCATGAATCACCATCTACTCTATCCACTTCACATTTTCCCCCACTTGGGCCCACACCATCAGGGCGATCTAGTAAGAACTCAAATACCGGAATTAACAATGTCTACTGCACATTAACTATGGGATAGGAACCACAGCAGACCTTGGGAATCAAAGGAGACACATCAAGGCCTCTCAACATGTTTAATCTAATAGAGAACACACACAAAAGGCAGTCACAGTACAGAAAAATAGGTGCTATATGGGACTATGATAACGCTCAGGAGAGACATCCAATCTGTGCTGAAGCATCAGAGAAGGCCTTCCAGAGGCAAAGAGACCTTTCCTAGAAGACTAAAAAATGAACAGGAGGTGCCTAGAGAAAAGGTGTGGTGAGAGAGGCTTCCAGGAATTCCAAGTAGATGATAACAGGTAAGAAAGCAAGACCACCTGTGGAAACTGAAAGTAGGCAAGCATGGCCAGAATTTTAAATGTGAAGGGGCCATGCAAGATGGCTCACACTTGTAGTCCCAGCACTTTGGGAGGCCAAGGCAGGCAGATGACTTGAGGCCAGGAGTTCAACCCTAGGCAACATGGCAAAACCCCACCTCTACAAAAAATACAAAAATTAGGCGGGTGTGTTGGTGTTCACCTGTAGACCCAACTACTTGGATGGCTGAGGTGGGAGGATCACTTGAGCCCAAGGAAGTCAAGGCTCCAATGAGTAAAGATCGCACCACTGCATCCCAACCTAGGTGACAAAGAGAGACCCTGTCTCAAAAAAAGTGTGAAGGGAGAAACTTCTGAGATGACCCAGGAGGTAAAGAGACCCTAAATAGCTTGGTAGATTTAAGTCTCAGAGCTTTGTATAAAAAGAGTTAATGTCCCTTACCTGTCACGAACAATGTGAAAATAGGCTAAACTGACTATCTGACAAATGTATCTTGGCACTTACTGAACACTAGTTCCACAATGCACGTTGCTCAGAACACTAACAAGGGTACCAAACTCACAAGGAATTATCATGTGCTTTAGATTGTTCCTTGAAACATCAGCCCCCTTTACTACACGTCTACCTTCCTCTCAGCATCATTTCTTTAATTTTCCTGCAAATAACAGAAAAGTAGGTGTGTTTGGGTTTTAGGGGCAGAGATTGACCCTGAAAATAAGAAAATTAATTCTCACAACACGGTAGGGAATCGAAAAAAATTGAACAAGGAAACTAAGCAAAAAGATGGAGGAAATGAAACAGTAAAAGGCAAATTTAGAAAACTCAAGAGGAAGTAAAAGTATTTTCATATACTCAGAAAAAAAGAAGTATCCCACGTGCTTCAGACAAACCAGACTCCCCTTAACTGTTAAAAAAAGAAAAACTTTAACTTGAGGAGATAACCGCTGGGGGTGGGGAAAAAAAGGAAAAGAAAAACAAAAGAGCTGTAAAAAAATTCATACTTCCATATCTCTTTGCTGAATAAACACTAAATTGGTACAGTACAGCCAGCTGCCCTGGAAGACCTTGAAATATTAGCCCAGATAATATAGCACATGACAGTCACTTCCAGAAACTCTCAAAAACCACAAATCATTTCTTGTTCTGACAACCTGATCTACCAACTCTGGTCTATCCTGTCATGTAATAATCAATAACGTTTCCTGTCAAGCACTTCAGCCGTACGGGAGAAAGATAGAGAAGCATTTGTTTCCAAACGTACAGTGAGACTTTTTAAATTGGCGCAAGGCGTCTCCATTAACACTTTTCTGCCAATTCCAAATTTCTAAATGTCAAGAACTGGCAGCAGCAGTCCAGTTCCTAGGAGCCCTGGTTTTGAGAAGGCACCACCTCTGAATTCCCTCAAAGGGCGTTCTGAACTCACTGAGCAAATCCGACTGGCTTTCCTGACCCTCGAGCCATTTCTTGCCGCCATGCACTTACAGGAGAAGGAATCGCAACCGCGGGAGCACCCGGAACGCCTGGGACTGCCGCCCCCCACCGCACGGCGCTCCGCACAGCGTTAGGGACAGAAGTCACCGGAGTCGAGCCCAGGGCAGCGATCTGGGCTGGCTCGGCCCCGGGAAGGGAGGAGAAGGACCGGGTCTACTCCCCGAGGGCGACGCTCCCGGGGCAGGGACAATGGGCTCGGGACCCTGCGAGGTGGCGGCGGCCCGCCCCAGCAGGTCTCAGGGGCCCGGCGGCGCGGGGAGACTAGCGGGCCGCCAAGAGCGCGGAGCTCCGGCCTCAGCGCGGCGCAGCCCCCGGGCCGGTGCCCCGCTAGTCTCGGGCTGGGCTGCTGCCAGGTCCGAAGCCACCGGACCGAGGAGAAGCCGTTTTCCCCCTCCCCCGCCCTCCGCCCCCAGCCCCGGCGCGACCCCCGTGCGGCCCGGCGCACTCGCCTGCCCACGGTCTGGTTAGCCAGCTGCTTCATGCGGTTGAACTGCTTCTTCATGGCGGCGGTCACGGCGGCGGCCCGCGGGGCTCGGGCCGGGCAGGGTGGGAGACGGCCTGGCGGCTACTACATCGCTTCCCGGCCCAAGCAGCGGCGGCGGCGGCGGCGGAGGCTGAGGCTCCCCGGCCGGCGGCCCTGCCCTCGTCGCGTCACTTCCAGTGGCGCCGCCCGCCCGCCCTCTACTTCTGGCCGAGCCGAGCTGAGTCGAGCCGAGCCGAACTGAGCCGAGCTGAGCCGAGCTGAGCCGAGCCGAACTGAGCCGAGTCGAGCCGAGCCTAGGCTAGCAGTGCCCGACCTGACCCGGGCAAAGAGCGAGAAGGTTCTGGGTCCTTCAACGTCCCGCTTCCCGACACCAGTGCCGCTCGGCCACCCTCTAGTATATTTCAACATATGAAAATCTGTTTATGGCAGGGTGCGGAGGTTCAGCGCTGTAGTCTCAGCACTTTGGGAAGCTAAGGCGAGCGGATCACTTGAGGTCACGAGTTCGAGAGCAGCCTGGCCAACGTGGTGAACCCTGTCTCTACTAAAAATACAAATTTAGCCGGGCGTGGGGGTGAGCGCCTATAACCTCAACTACTCGGGAGGTTAAAGCAGGTGAATCACTGTTACTGCACTCCAGCCTGGGCAACAGAGTGAGATCCTGTCTCAAAAAAAAAAAAAAAAAAAAAAAGAAAAAAGAAAAGAAAATGAAGAGCAACGTGTGTTTTCCTTAACACGTGCTCACAGTCAGGTTAAGGCATTTGGGGGTTGCACTTTTGGAGCCCTTGTGGTTGGCTGGAGCTGCATGTGGCACTAGGGAAAGGCACCAATGCAGACAGAAAAGGGGCCAACCCAGTGGGCTCTTCTGATCAAGCAGAGGCCCATGGTCACCAGAGACTGGCCCTAGTGAGGCCCCAGGCCAGGCCTCTGCATTTCCAGGCAGCGCCCTGCCCTTGGTGGGCCTCTGAGCAGGCACTGACTAGCAACTAGTACCATAATAACATCTACCATTCTAAACTCAGCCACAGGGGCAGTTCAACTTTGTTGTCCTCTGGTTGTGAGTTTTTCACTTTGTTTTAGAGATGGAATCTTGCTAGGCTGGCCAGACTGAGTTTGGATCTGACTGCACTGGAGACTTCTGAGTGGACCGGCTCAGTTCTATTAACTGCAGCAATGTCTTCCTGGTTTGGTGGCCTTGACTCCAGCTCAGACCGTTCCTTGGGGTATATGGGCAGCAATGTGGCTTCCTTTGTGAGCCACATTTCAAATGTGTTCATAAATGTCACAGAAAAGGGGAAGAGTTCCCTAACTATGGGATAAAAGACTGATGCCAGTTTGGAATTCTTAATAACAAAGAATGAGGAACTTCAAAATCTTTGTAGTGACCTAGGAGAGACTTAGGAAGCCTCAGAGCTTCAGATATGGTAGCAAACTAAAAGTTACTGACATCAATTACAACAGAAAGAGGTAGAAATGAGCCTTCCTAAAGCAAGAAAACAAGCACTGCAGGATCGATTGAGAACCAGTATCCAGCTCTGGAGTCAGCACATTCAGGGGAGGCCGGGGGTTCCCATCCACACTGCATCCCCTCCATTCCATGTGGTACCCATCATGCTTCAGTGTTCCACGATGATTACATGGGTTTTTATGACTTAATTGCATCATAACAAGAAATAAACAGATTGTCCAATGAAGTTCTAAAACTTCCACTAGGCCATTGGAAGTGTATTGCTCAGACTTATAAAGTAAAAGAAACAACTAGTTTTGATGAAAATGAAATCTACAAATTACAAACACCAAATATTAATACCATTAAGGAGCTCAAACAAAAAAGAAATCGGGATACTGACGACCATCAACTTAAAATATCAGTAGTAGTACAGAATGTTCATGAACAGAAATTGAGGGAAATGAGTTGTAAGCATCAAGAAAACCTGAGCAACTAGGAAGAAAGGATTGAAGAATTGGAAAATTTGTTACAGCAAGGTGGCTGGCTCAGGAATTGGCTCTCTCTAAACTTTAAGAGAAGGAAAACACTATTCATGCAAGCTCCACAAATTGAAAAAGTAAAGTCTACCAAAACAATTGAAGAATTTGAACACAGAATAAAAGACAAATAAAAAATTATCTTCTGGGGCCAGGTGTGGTGGCTCACACCTTAATCCCAGCACTTTGGGAGGCCAAGATGGGAGGATTGCTTGAGCTCAGAAGTTTGAGACCAGTGTGGACAACATACTGAAATCTCATCTCTATGAAAAATAAAAATAACAAATTTTTTTAAAAGGCCAGAGGCAGTGGTGTGCACCTGTAGTTCCAACTAGTTGAAAGGCTGAGGCAGGAGGATCATTGGAGCCCAGGAGTTTGAGGCTGCAGTGAGCTATGATCACACCACTGCACTCTTGCTTGGGTGACAAAGTGAGACCTTGGCTGAAAAGAGGCTGTTGGAAGCAACAAACAAGTCTGAGAAAACCACGAAAGGATTGTCCAATGAAGCTAACCTGGAGAGCTCTGCCTTACAACTAGAGCAAGAAGGTGTAATTAAACTCAGCCAGGGGAAAGGTTCTTAAATAGCAGCACTCAAAAAGAACATTGAGGCCGGGCGCACCTGTAATCCACTGCTCTTCTCAACTAGATGGCTCACACCTGTAATCCCAGCACTTTGGGAGGTCGAGGTGGGTGGATCACCTGAGGTCTGGAGTTCAAGAGCAGCCTGGCCAATAGGATGAAACCCTGTCTCTAGTAAAAATACTAGCCGGGTGTGGTGGTGCGTGTCTGTAATCCCAGCTACTCAGGAGACTCAGGCAAGAGAATTGCTCAAACCCAGGGGGCGGAGGTTGCAATGAGCCAAGATCCAGCCTCTGCAGGGTGGTCCAACCAAGGTGACAGAGTAAGACTCCGTCTCAAAAAAAAAAGAATATTAAACAGCTGACACTGACCATAAAGAAACTAAAGAAAAAAATGCTCGAAGAGATTGAACAGCTAAGAAAATCACTGCAGGAAAAAGATGCAACCATTAGATCCCTTCAGGAAGACAATCAGAGACCATCTGATTTGATTTTGTCCTATAGTTAAGAACAGAAGCAATTGACACAACTTACAAGACAGAAAGCAATTTTGTTGAAAAACTTAAAGGAAGTTCAGAGCTTCCAGAGGAATTATTATACTAAAAATCTTAAGAAAAAAAAGATATTTCACCAGCAAACCATAGAGGAAAAAGATGTCTTGCATCCATGAAAGAAAAAAAATCTGATAGAAGAATTTAAATGACTCAGAGGACAACAAAGTTGAACTGCCCCTGTGGCTGAGTTTAGAATGGTAGATGTTATTATGGCACTAGAATTGGAGGTGTTTCAAACGAAAGTATTCAAAGGTAATCTTGAGGAGGAAATACAGTATCATCAAAACATAATTGAAGGCAGGGCACGGTGGCTCACTCCTGTAATCCCAGCACTTTGGAGGCTGAGGCAGGTGGATCACTTGATGCCAGGAGTTCCAGACCGGCCTGGCCAACATGGTGAAACCCTGTCTCTAATAAAAGTACAAAAATTAGCTGGGTACAGTGGCATCCGGCTGTAGTCCCATAGTTCCAACTACTCGGGAGGCTGAGGCAGGAGAATCACTTGAACCCAGAAAGTAGAGGTTGCAGTGAGCCAAGATCGTGCCACTGCACTCCAGCCTGGGCAACAGAGCAAGACTTCATCTAAATAAGTAAATAAACAAACATAATTCAAGAGTTGAAGAAGTGGGGGCACAGTGGCTCACACCTGTAATCCTCCCAAGTTTGGGAGGCCGAGGTGGGTGAATCACCTGAAGTCAGGAGTTCTAGACCAGCCCGGCCAACATGGCAAAACCCTCTCTCCATTAAAATATAAAAATTAGCCGGGTGTGATGGTGGGTGCGTGTAATCCCAGCTACTCAGGAGACTGAGGCAGGAGAATGATTTGAACCCAGGAGGCAGAGTTTACAGTGATCCAACTTTGTGCCACTGCACTTCAGCCTGGGCAACAGAGCAAGATTTCGTTTCAAAAATACGTAACCCTAATTGAAGAGCAAACAGAGTAAGATGCAACGGCTTCAGTCTTTAAAAGAGGAGAAAAAAACAGCAAATGGATTATTTTTTAAACCAGCACAAGCAAATGAATATCACACACCCAGCTCTTTTCAGTAAAAGATGAAGAAACTAGGAATTTGCAAAACATGATAGGAAAAGAATCAAAACCCAGCTGCATGAAACAGGACAAGACATTCAAAGACTCTGAGCTGTTTTTCAAACAACAGAAGTTGAGTGTCCCAATATAGAAAACAGAAGTGAAACACATAATTTATTTAAATCTGAAACGGAAAGATTAGTGAAAGCAGTGAAAGAGCAAGAATTGGAGATTTATCCTGAATCAAGGACCAGAGGGAGAAAGAAAGGATTGGAGAATAAATTTATATGTCAAAAATAATATGTCTTTAAACAGATTGATCAACTGTCCATCAGTGAGGTGGGTAAACTTGCTCACATCATCCAGCAGGAAGATATGGAGGTACAGGGTCTTCAGGGTAGAACGGCTTCAGCTTCTGACACCCAGGGCGTTGCTCACCTTCAGCAGCATCTGCAAGCACCTGCTGTGGACAGAGAACAAATATCAGCTCTTTGGAATGAGGCATCTTGGGAAAACAGCTATCTCAAAAAGAGGATCACCAAACAATGGATATCATTGCTGATGATGAAGCAAGCCTCCCTAAGCTGCAAGAGAAAAATAAAAAACTGTCCAGTAGTAATGGTCAGGAGAGATTTAAAGACATTGTCCAGAAGTCATCATGTCTCATTCTAGAAAAAAACATTGAAACAGATGCATTAAGTCAGAAATGTCAGACTTCAGTGACAATTTTGCAAGCATCTAGCACTGGTCATGAGATTGGAGGTGTTAACAGTAATCCATTTGAAGAGCTTCTACAAGGACCTAATAAATTAAAACAGCCAGTTGGGTCTGGCACAGTGACTCCTATCTGTAATCCCAGCACTTTGAGAGGCCAAGGCAGGCAGATCATCTGAAGTCAGGAGTTTGTGACCAGCCTGGCCAGCATGGTGAAACCCTGTTTCTACTAAAAAATACAAAAAAAAAAAAAATTAGCTGGGCATGGTGGCAAGTGCCTGTAATCTCAGCTACTCAGGAGGCTGAAGCAGG